TATATATATATATATATATGTGTGTGTGTGTGTGTGTGTGTGTATTACACAGATATTTGTTTTTTGCCTAATGGAAAAATTAAGTGCTTGTCCTGTCATCATTGTATTCAGTGTTTTGTTCTCTTTTAGACTCATTACTCATTTGAGCTCCACCCAAGTGGAGCAGCTATTTAACCTCACAAGGAGCTGCTTGACAATAGAAGTCTGACTGGAGGATGCCACAACATACGGGAGTGGCGAGAAGCTGAATCAATGACTTTCTGGTACCAAGACAGCCTCCCCTACAGCTACTGCTCATCCTGAATTCTTTTCTTTTGAAATAATTCCTTTAAAATGTGATAAACAGGAAAAAATGAAAAAATAGCTGTTCTTTTATTTACAAAGATTTGTTAAAAATAGTTTTTACAGGTTTGTTGGTACGCTTCAAAAACTTCAAAAGCTATGTTTCAAACTGTGTTTGACCTTAATCAGTATCTCAGGAGCCTTCAGGGTTTTCATGAAGCCCAGAGCTGTCAGAGGAACTCAGTCCTATGAAGACCCAAGGCTGCAGGATCATCTCCGAGCAGGTGCACGTCCCTCTGACCGCAGCGGACGAGACTATTAAACCAAGCTTCACAGGACTGAAGCCCCTCACCAGAGGACATCAACCCAAGGATGATCGGACAGATCGGACAACATACACAGAAAGAAAACATCAAAACCATCTCAAGTGAACTCCACGGTTGCAATGTTCTACTTCCTGATTGGACCACCCACCACATTGTGAATCACAATGACTGAAGGCCTGAAACCAGATAATTCACAAAACCGAATGTCGAAACCAACGTTTCTGGGCCTAATGACTGAGAAGTGGATTTTTTTTGTCCCCTGTCAGATCATTTTCTTGATTATTGTTGGAGAGAATTAATAAAATAATTCCATAACTGTAAATAAATGAGTAAATAATATTAAACTAAAAAATGTAGCTGAATTAACTGGTTTTAAATTCTTTGTTATTGTTCAGTGAGAGGCTCGGTGTAAATACCCTAAAGTCATGGGTGCATGTGCAGCTAATGCCAAATGACTCGGTGGTATTCCTGGTAACTCATCAATAATTACGATGATTTAATACCCAGTGACAAACTAAACAATAGGCATGCATAACTGTGTCTGCAAACTAGGTCAGAATCAACAGATGGCGTTTTGTTCTGATTTAAACAAAGCACTGAAAACAACCCATGAACACCATTTTATGTTGCATAAAGAGAATTAATGAAACTAATCTGTTTAAAAATATTATCACCTCTTTCTGTCTCACAGCAAGTCCAGAAATACTTCTCAAAGGTTTACCAGTGTAGAAATGTACAATCAAAACTACATTTATTTTAGTAACATGCACTAGTTCTCCCCTCTTTTGGTTATTACCTGGCAGTCCAATGAGAGCAAACAGGTAGAGCAGTGGGCGGAGCATACTGGCAGCAGCCAATGGGAATGGAGAGCTGGAAGATAGACATCAGACAAAATTAGTCAGATACTTTAATTCACCTGAAGTTTCAGTCAAGTGTTTATTATCATTTGTTTCTATAAAAAACAAAGTTATTATTAATAATCATTTTCTTTTGGCCACTCCCTCCTTCACATGTTGTCAGAGCGAACAAACTCAAGAGGAATGTTTTTACGTCAAACGTCCTTCCTGACACAACCACAGCCCTCCGTCTGGAGCAGGGGGCTGCCATGTACCACACCTGGAGGGGGCTCAGGGCTCAAGGGCTTATTACAATCCACTTCTGTGCCACCATGCCCCCTAACAATAATAATACTAAGTATACTAATACTAATACTAATACTAATACTAATACTAATAATAAAACATCCATTATCTTTACCTGCTTCTTCCTTTTCCAGTCATGGGGGTCACTGGTGCCCAAGACCAGCAGACATTGTGCAAAAGGAGAGGGACACCTGTACAGGTCTCCAGTTCATCACAGGGACACCTGGACAGGTCTCCAGTTCATCACAGGGACACCTGTACAGGTCTCCAGTTCATCACAGGGACACCTGTACAGGTCTCCAGTTCATCACAGGGACACCTGGACAGGTCTCCAGTTC